ACAGGCCTTGCAGGCCGGATAGAATGGCCTCATGACCAGATGCAGCCCACAGGCCGTATTTTGCCTACCCCTGAAATAAACCCAGAGATTTCACATAGGACTGCATAGAGGGGTTTTGTTTGTTTGTTTTTTACAAATATGTAGTATTACATATAGATATTTCTAGGAGGAAACCAGCTTGTTTATATCAGAAGTCTCCTTTTCTCCCAATCAATAATGCTTGTTTGCACTAAATATAGAGGTCCATGTTGATTAGGTTGTTCTAATGTCTCCAAATTAAGAATCTATGGCAGGTATTTGTTTTTCCAGAGTAGCTGACAGTGTAAAAGGGCTTGGAGCTTTTGGCTTCCAAGCTAGAAGTTTTTCAGCCAAATATGACTTATTGATTTAAATTCTGTGTTCTTTGTAGTCCCATAAATCTAATGCAACTCTGGTGCTGCAGGAAGAAGATGATTCATTTTTGTAAATAGTATGATCTTGGGTGAACTAATGAGTTTTTAAGGGCACTTCCAAGAAAAATGGGTGGCAGCTTTTTTAAAACAGTCTGTTTTTAATATAGTAAGATTTGTGAATATGGTGTTTCTGTCAAAGTTTTGAGTAGGTCTCTCATATTTTTCCCCCCATATCAGTGGTTTGCAAATGTCAAACATTTTACTTTATTTTTATATTAAAGTGTTCTTTTTGCCTTGGCTGTGTGGGGTTTGTTTGTGTGTGTGCGCGTGTGCACATATGTGAAAATTCATGGCATAATTTTGTAAAGTGCTTCTCCCCTGCAAAACTTTAATTCTTCTTCGCCTCTTAATTGTGGAAATCTAAGGAGCTCAGTGCATCACCAGATCAGATTAACACTCCAGTTGAAGAGCTGGTTTTGCAGTGGCTTTGTTTCCTCTGCTGAAATGGGTTGCTGCCTGAATTATACTGTCACATTCTGAACATCACTGTGAAGAAAGTACTACGCAGAAGAATTTGTAGGATCAGAAGACAGCTGAGAATTTGAAAGAGGACATCTAGTACACTAATTTCCCCCCATGTTGGTGGCTCTATTTGATACTATGACGATCTTTTTTTTTGTTATTTTTTATTTGTTAAAAGCTTTCCTTGAACTCACTAATTAACCAGATGGGAACTCTTTTTTTTTTTTTCTTCCCCTTCTTTAGACCTACTTTTTGATGGAATTAACCGTGCTATGTATAGCTTAGTGTTTTAGTGCCAGAATTGTTATCTTCTTTCTTTGAGCTTAATAAAATCAAGTGACTTTGACTCGCTGTTTGATAATATCTGCATTTGTGTGCATCAAAGCATAGGGAAAACGAACAGGAAATGAAATTATACTATTGTTTTGTCCAGTCAGGAACACCAGACTTACAAATGATAGATCTCCTGTCATTTGCTGTTACTACAGGGTAGTATTTATACCATTAATGAAGCTTAATCTATTTTGGGCATGGGTTAACGGTGCTTTTTGGTGGCAGTGCTTCAAAACGATCAAAAGGGTGCTTTTGCTGTATTGGATCATTCCTTAATATAATTTGATAACTGACATCACTGTGTATTTAAACAGTTCAACCTGGGTATATCAGATATACTGTACTTGAGCAAAAAATCATCTGCCCTAGGTTTACTTTTCATTGTTTTCATGAATTTGGAACTTCAGAGAAACCTGTCCAGAGCACATGTATTCTACAGAAATATAGAAGGTAATATAGAAGATTCCCATTTGAGTGGGATGACTTGGCACATAATGATGAGTAGAAATGGCTAAAAGTTGGGTAGATTTTTTTCTTCCATCATATTTTCAAGTAACAGGATATTAAGAAAAAGTGTGGGTGTGGGCAGGTTCTCATTGACAGAAACTTTTAAAATGGCCAAACAATACATTTAGTGGCAGTGCTTCAAAATGAGCATAATTTCATAAATGACATTGTCCTGGGGAGACAGCCACTGGAGGATGGGGAACCTCCCCCTCCCTCCCCCCCCGTGGTAGGACAGGGGATGAGGGTGACTCACCCCCACAGAGAAATCCTTGAAACCAGGGCAAACTTAACAATTTCAGGCTGGGAGGCGTGGGATGAGCCACACCAGGAAGAGCCACTTGTGCAGCTTATAAGCTGTGCTTACTTCTGGGTGGGGCCGGCTCAGGCAGCTGATGTCACCGGAGAACGCTGCCCAGCCAAAATTAAAGCCAGCACCAGCGGAGGTTCTGGGAGAGTGGGTAAAATGCCTGGTGACGCAGGTGTTCTCCACGCCAAGCTCAGGCAGCGCTGGTGTGCAGCTGAAGAGCTGGCAGGAAGAGAGGTCATCAGCAGGAGCGAGGACCTGGAACAATGTCAAGGGATGGCTCAGGCCCAAGGCATGAGGGCTGTGAGAGAAGAGAGGTGGCTAGCCTATTTCCTAAGGTTCTTTTGGTGTTCTTTTTTTTTTTTGGCATTCCCTTTGGTTTTTCCTTCCTTTTTTTTCTCTTGCTGTGGCTGGGGTGCAAGCATCGCTCCAAGAGGCAGGAGCCGCTTTAGACCCACGGCAGGTGGCCAGCTGGCCGCAGGAAAACGCCAAAAGGTCAGGGCGAATCATCTGTTCCAGGAGCACAGGGAACGTGCAGGACTGGCACAACTGGAGGGTATACTGCATGGAAACTGCTTACCTCGTTCTGGAGGTTGGTGTATGGAAGGAGTGTAGGGGAGGCTAAGCCCCACGGATACCTTGCCAGGAGGACTCTCTCCCACCTGAGAGAGTCCTCAGAAGGGGAACCCACCACTAAAGATTCGATGAAAGTTGTGGCAGGAGAGTTTCTGGACTTTCCCTGGGGTGATCGCGGACCCCTCCAAAGGTCACACGTCCCCTCACAACACCTGACACCAGCTGCACGTGCTAAGGTGGCTCGCAAACACATCCTTGAGGCCAGGCAGGCACAGACATCACTGTGTATACAGTTTACCAGCTTCTGAGCATGATGGATACAGATATAGATATGCCTGAGGGAAGCAGATGAGCATGGTAATTGTCTAATGCATTTTGGCTGGAAAACTCCCCAAGTGTCTCATCAGTTGCAGGAGGGGACATTTTCTGTTTCTTCTGGATATTTTAATAGAAAAAAAAATCCTTTCCACTAAACTATCAAAGTTGTGATATTTTCTGATGTTATACAAGTGCCAGTACTCTCGTGCTCTGTTATATGCAGTGGTCTTTAGAAGCAAGATGGATCTAATATATCTTAAATGTAAGATGGGCAATAATTAAACTTTTGTGCTTGACTTACTTTTATTTCTAGCCTTTTTAACTTGTAGGATTGACTTTCATTTCTTTGACCTTAACATTTTATGGTTGTATCCATACATGTTACGTTAGGATCCATCTTGTGCCCTCTTCTAGGTTTACCTGGCTGGACTCGAGTCAACCAGTGGTGAATTTCTTTAAATTGTAGACAGCTGCTTCTCGTTTAGTTGCCCAGAGCCAGCATGTTTCTCCACCTTGCTTTGCTAATGCATTACTTGTTTTCTGCTATTTTTTGTGTAAGTAGCACATCCTCCTACCAGTTTACCATAATATTACAATATGGAACTTATGGATTTTATTGTATAAAGGGCAGTGCTTTCCTCATGAATTGAACACAGTCTCACATTTTTGAGTAGGAATAAAAAGTTTCTTCTATTGAGTAATTTATATGCTCTGTTTTAGTACATGTTACTATGGCGATGACTGCAGGGACTACAACATCCTTTCCCATGAGCAACCACACCCGGGAGAGAGTGACTGTGGCTAAACTTACACTGGAGAACTTCTACAGCAACCTAATTTTACAGCATGAAGAGAGAGAAACAAGGTACTGCATCAGGCTTCTCTATCACTGTAAGGCTTTTATACTCACTTTCCCTTTTATAGAGTTTGTCCAGTCATTTTAGTCTGTGCACAAAGTATTTCTTGGAAGTTTGTGTTGATTTTTCAATCACAAGCTGCTTGAGAGCATGTTCTCTTTATTATGTAGCAGTTAAGACTAATATACATGTTTAAAGTCTGTCACCATAAAACTGGCATTTCCCTCAACATTTTAGGCTGGGAAGACAAAAACAGCCAGATGCGCACTGATGGCCACATCACTCCCTTGCAAGCCATTAACTACCAAAACAGGTTCCTTAACTGTGTGATGCTAGGATCAGGTGGACCTTCACCTAATATCTGTCTGTTAGTCCTTCTGATGCTGCAGTATACTACTAAATAAAAAGTCAGACTACCAAATATTGAGCTATAATGAATACTGTGTTTCAGATTGTAGTCAATAATGAAATAATTGTTCTATAACAACAGAAGTTTTCAATAGAGAATACACAATCAAAGATGAGGTTTTCATCTCTTTAAACCTTTCCTTGTTACTTAGCATAAGTGAGCAACTCGATGGCAGATAGTCTGTGCACTAGAGTCCTGTCTGAGAGACTTCTACTACATTTCTCAAAAATGAAATCAGTGGGTCAAAGCAAATATATACGCATGCATTATCAATGGTAGAATCCTACAGTATTAGCACCTGTATCAGTTTATTTCATCGTATAGTCTTGCTGAAATTAATGAAACCAGACATGAAAGAAGCAGTTTAGAGCACTGAATGTCAGGATGTTCAGATCTGTGGTGTCATTATGAAGCCTATGTAAATAAAAATAAGTTCCAAAGGGTCTGGTCACCTTTGATAAAAGGTGCATCATGTATTTGTGTAAGTGTTTACAAAATTTAGATTGCTCTTGGGGAGAAAGACCTTCCCATGTCTTTACGGCTGTAGGATGTCACAGATCTCTGGTGCAGTAGAATTGTACCATCTAAAATATACAGTTAGGGCATGTAGACATGAGTGTCTGCCTGGGTACTTGTGGAAATACAAGATGTATAACCAGGGAGCTGGCAGGAATAGGCCCATGGCCTAGAGAATAGGATAACTTCTACAGGATAACTTTTCCAGGAAGTGGGTGCACTAAATGCTGTCATATTGCAAACTGCCATTATTACGTTTCGCTTCTCCAACTCCTAATATATATAATTCAGTTAAGAACATCAGTTCACTACACTCATCTCCCTACTGTATCTTTATTAGGAGTTGGAGAAGAGAAATGTAATAATTATATATATATATATATATATATATATAAAATTTTAAAGATTGCTTATCCATATGTTTTTCTTTTGTAGGCAGAAAAAGCTGGAAATGGCCATGGAAGAAGAAGGCCTGGCGGATGAGGAGGTAATACTAATTTAATAGTTTTCACTGTCTTTCATGATTATTCAGAATTGGTGGTCAATAGATACATAGTTTGACTCTTACTCTTCTATCAGTTAAATGCTGCTGTTGTAACCAGATAGCATATTAATGGTTTCCATCATGAACTTTCTTTAAATATTAAGCTTTATGGTCTAGTATGACATTCCACGCAAGTACATAATGCTTGTTTTTTGAGGTATAAATTAGTTTGAAACTCAGTTGGACATTTGAAAAGAGAGAAAAGGGCCCCAAATTCTTGGAAGAAATAGGCAAAAGATGAAGCGTAGCTCTGATTCATTTTAAGGTGCTGATTCAGCAAGGTATTTATGTATATGCCTAATTTGAAACATAGGAGTAGAATCATAGATAATTAGGGTTGGAAGGGACCTTTATGAGGTCATCTAGTTCAACCCTCTGCTCAAAGCAGGACCATCCCAACTAAATCATCCCAGACGGGTTTGTCTAGTCAGGTCTTAAAAGCCTCCAATGATGGAGATTCCACAATGTCTGGGTAACCTGTTTCAGTGTTTTACTACCTTCTTAGTAAGACATTTTTTCCTGATACCTAACCTAAACTTGCCTTGCTGCAACTTGAGACTGTTGCTTCTTGTTTTCTCATGTGCCACTACTGAGAACAGTCCTCTTGTGAACCCTCCTTCAGGTAGTTTGAAGGCTGCTATTAAATCCCCTCTGTCTTCTCTTCCCTAGACTAAAGAAGCCCAGTTCCCTCCGCCTCTCCTCGTAAGTCATGTGCCTCAGCCCTCTCACCATTTTTGTTGCCCTCTGCCAGAGCCGACCTGAGCAGGGTGCAGGGCCCAGGGCAAACCAGCCCATGCAGGGCCCCACCCCTGCTCTGATCCCATGAGCCCCTGACCCAAAGAAGCTGCTGCACTAGGGGTGAGAGGTAGCAAGTGGCTGGATGCAGAGCCATCACTCCACCCAGCTCTGCACCACCGCTGCTCCTCCCAGCTCCGCAGGGCTCCCCAAAGTGCGGGACCTTCCCTTGGGATGTCCCTGCCCTCTGCTGGACTCTCTTCAATTTGTCCACATCCTTTCTGTAGTGGGGGGCCAGAAACTGGACACAGTACTCCAGATGTGGTCTCACCAGTGCTAAATAAGGGGGAATAATTACTTTCCTTGACTTGCTGGCAACATACCTACCAATGCAGCCCAGTATCCTGTTAGCCTCTTGGCAGTAAGGGCACAGTGTTGTCTCGTATTCAGCTTATTGTCCACTATAACCCTCCAGGCCCTTTTCTGCAGAGCTGCTGCCCACCCAGTCAGCCCCCATCCTGTGGGATTTGTTCTGTCCTAAGTGCATGGGAACAAATCCCCCAGTGCATGGGATTTGTTCGGTCCTAACTGCAGAACGTTGCACTTGTCCTTATTGAACCACCTGAGATTCCCTTTGGCCCAGTCCTCAAACTTGTCTAAGTCACTCTGTATCCTAGCCCTACCCTATAGCACATCTACTACTCTCCCCAGCTTGGTGTCGTTTGCATACATGCTGAGGGTGCACTCTGTGCCATCTTCCAGGTCATCGATAAAGATATTGAACAAAACCGGCCTCAGGACCAACTCCTGGGGCACTCTACTTGATACTATCTGTCAACTAGACATGAAGCCATTGGTTACTACCCTCTAAGCCCGATGCTTCAGCCAGCTTTCTATCCACCTTACAGTCCATTCATCCAGCTTGTACTTCCTTAGCTTGCCTGCAAGAATGTTGTGGGAGACTATATCAAAAGCCTTGCTAAAATCAAGTTATACCACATCCACTGGTCTCCCCTCATTGACAGAGCCAGTCTTCTCATCATAGAAGGCAGTTAGGTTGGTTAGCCATGACTTGCCCTTGGTGAATCCATGCTGACCAATCCTGATAACCCTCTTGTCCTCTAGGTGCTTAGAAATAGATTCCTTGAGGATTTGCTCCATGATTTTTCCAGGGACTGAGGTGAGGCTGACTGGTCTATAGTTCCCTGAATCTTCTTTTTTCCTTTCTTAAATATGGGCACTATGTTTCCCCTTTTCTAGTCATCCGGGACTTTTCCTGATTTTTGCCATGAGTTTTCAAAGATTGATGGCTAGTGGTTCTGCAATCACATCAGTCAACTCCCTCAGCACCCTCAGGTGCATCCCACCCAACCCTATGGGCTTGTACATGTCCAGCTTTTCTAAATAATCCCTAACCTGTTCTTTCACCACTGTTGGCTGCTCACTTCCTCCCCAAACTGCTGCCAGGTGCAGTAGTCTGGGAGCTGACCTCGCCTGTGAAGACAGGTGAAAAAGGCATCAAGTACTTACGCCTTTTCTGTATCCTCTGTCACTAGGTTGTCTTCCCCATTCAATAAGGGACCCACACCTTTCCCTGATCTTTCTCTTGTTACCTACATATTTGTAGAAACCCTTCATGTTACCGTTCCATCTCTTGCTAGTTGCGCTTTGGCCTTCCTGACTTCATTCCTTTGTGCCCAAGCAGTACTCTTATACTCCTCCCTAGTTGTTTGTCCAAATTTCCACTATTTATAAGCTTCCTTTTTGTGATTTACCTTACTGAAGAGTTCCCTGCTAAGCCAAGTTGGTCTCCTGCCATACTTGCTAGTTTTCATGCACATCAGGATGGTTTGTTTCTTCACTGTCAATAAGGCCTCTCCCCCCTCAGACTGGCTTCCCAGGGGATTATGTCCATAAGTTTCCCAAGTGAGTCAAACTCTCCTTTGCTGAAGTCCAGGGTCCTTACTCTGCTGCTCTCCATCCTTTCTTTCCTCAGGCTCCTGAACTTAATCATCTCATGGTTGCTGCTGCTTACGTTGCCATCTCCTAGTACATTTCCCACCAATTCTTCCTTGTTTGTGAGCAGCAGGTCAAAAAAAGCATGGCCCCTAGTTGGCTGCTTCAGCACTTGCGCCAGGAAGTTGTCCCCAGTGCTCTCCAAAAATTTCCTGGATTGCCTGTGCATGGCTGTGTTGCCCTCCCAGCAGATGTCAGGGTGACTGAAGTCCCTGATGAGGACCAGGGCCTGTGATAGAAGAAACTTCTGCTAGCTGTTCGAAGAAAGTCTCATCCACTACTTCCTCCTGGTCTGGTGGCCTATAGCAGACCTCCACCGCAGCATAACCCTTGTTGTTCTCCCCTCTGACCCTAATGCAGATACTTTCGATAGGCCTATCTCCAGTTTCATAGTGAAGGTCTGAGCAATCATATGGCTCTCTTACATCAAGTGCAACTCTTCTTCTCCCCTGCCTGTACTTCCTGATCAGTTTATATGCATCCATGACAGTGGTCCAGTCATGCAGGCTATCCCACCAAGTCTCTGTTATTCCAATCACATCGTAGTTCTGGGACTGTACTCGGACTTCCTATTCTTCCTGCTTGTTTCCCAGGCTCTGTGCATTTGTGTACAGGCACCTGAAGTAACTAGTTGATTGCCCTGATTTCTCAGAAGAATGAGAAGACCTCTCCTGTTGCCCCCTCCTGCTTGCTCTTCCTCCAGGTCACCAACTTGCCCATGTACCCCAGGACTTTTGTCTCCATCCCCCAGTTAACCTGGTTTAAAGCCCTCTTCATGAGGTTAGGGAGCCTGTCTGCAAAGATACTGTTCCCTCTCTTCATCAGATGGATCCAGTCTCTTCCTAGCAATCCTTCACCCTTGCACCCAGATACTTACAGAAGTCACTTGGTGGATTGCACCTGGCCCTCACAGGTGCAAGCAGAGGCAATGGCAGTGGCTCTGGCATTCAATGTCCTCCAGCCATTTCCCTGAGTCTCTTAATGTGCCTGTTTCTTACTGCCCTTCTTCCAAGCATACCTTACCTTGTGAACTTGCCTAAAAGCTGGTCTGTTTACTGTTTTTTGGCCACAAAGGGTTCCTTTTTCCCTGTTCCCTTGCACCAAGCCGAATGGCTCACTGCTCAAGTGAGGACAGGGGGAAAAACTGGTTTGTGAACAGACTGGCAAACTGCTTGCCCTGTTTGCTGCCCCTGTTCATTGGTTCCCTGGTCACTTGGAGTCTTCTTTTATACCCTACTGGGCCTGGATTGGCTCTGCCCCCTTGTTAAGGCATCTGTCAGGTGCAGGCAGCAATCGCTCAGCTAGCAACACTCCTAACACTCCTAGCTTCTCAGAGCATACACCCCAAAAACACACCCCACCAAACAAACACTCAGCAAGCCTAGAGGCACAGGCAGCTCTGGATCATTTACCCATCCCTGGGCAAGATCTGGTGCCTGGCTTCTCTTCCCCTTCCCCTTCCTCTTTTTGCTCCCAGCAAATTGCCTGAAAACTGCTTGCCGTTTGCTGAGGTATTATCGTGGAAGCTCTTCATCATACAAGGGATGAATGTCACAGTAGTGGTGTCTTCAGTAAGCCAAAGCTTTATCTTTAAAAACACCACATCCTAGTTTTTCCTTCTCTTGTACCAGCTTTGCAGTGCAAATAGATTTATCTGTGGTTCACACAGATGTCAAAGAACGACTTGAATCTGCTGCATACCAGTGATTTGTCCTTTTAAATTTCCTTACTGTGCCCTTTCATGTCATAGTTTCTTGTATTATACTGTCAGAGAGGCTGTCATGATAAAATAAGAGTCTTCAAATTCCTTTGGTGCTTTTAATGTACCTTTTTGGGGAATGTGAGGTAGAGAGAAAGGGAGCATATAATGCCATCTTGTGGCTTTAAGCGATATTAAAAAAATTATATAAGAACATTATTTTAAGGTTGACTGTTGAAGGCTTACTAATATCACTGGAAGCAGTAGTGCTCAGCTTCTCTCAGAAAGCATCAAAGGTTTTCATTTAGATGCCAAAATATTTTGGGACTTTGAAACAAGCATCTAGATGCCTGAATAAGATGAGTAGATTTTTTTTATGTAGATAGTAACAATTGGATGCCTGCTACCAGACTACTTCATTTCTCTCTTACTTCTATCTTTGTCCATTTTTCCCTGTGTCCAAACTGGAGAATCTCTGCTTCTGCATTTCTTGGAGATTTGTTTTTTTTTGTTTGCTGTAATCAAGTCTGTTAGGATTAGCTCTTCATTGGGGCAGATTACTCCACAGCTGTCTACTGTGATGCTTCTCATGCCTTTTTGTAAAGCATAAGTTGCTGGTTACAGTCAGAAAGTGGGGATTGGTCTAGATCGTAGTTTCTCAACCTGTGGTACTTGTACCCCTGGGGGTACATGACACATGCAGGGGGTACACGGGTACCCCAACACTCTCACACCCTCTTTTCCTCTCAAAACCATGGCAAAACATTTTAAATTTCCCAGTAATAATTTGATGTGCCATGCTTTGCGCGGCACTGGGTTCAGTCCTTCTAGCTTTGGCCTACATCACCTCTAGCCCAGGTACATACTTGAGTTGTGCACCCCTGGTATAAAAGATGGTAACCCTATTCACACCAGATCAGACATATCACGGCCTTATATACATAGCCCTTCTTCCGGCATATGGCACACATTAGTCTGTAAATATAAAATCCCCTGGAAAATTGAGTGTTGGGGTACTTATTAACATTTTCAGAAGTTAGGGGTACTTGCTACTTAAAAGGTTGAGAAACACTGGTCTAGATATGCCATTAATCAGAGGTAGTGGATCAGTTGTTGTCTAAGCTGTATTTAGGTATTCCAAACATTTTAAACTATGTATATTACAATGGAAGTTGTACACTTAACTTCTTAATGTTGTGTTTTCACAGAAAAAACTACGCAGGTCACAGCATGCTCGCAAAGAAACAGAATTCCTGCGACTAAAGAGGACTAGGCTTGGTTTGGATGACTTTGAATCTCTGAAAGTTATAGGAAGGGGAGCATTTGGGGAGGTTTGTGTGTTCTTTGTTTGGAAGTAGATTAAGCTGAATTGGAAAAGGGCATTATAAGGAGGGTCCATATGGTGTGTTTATTCCAGAGTAACTATGAAATAACTATTTTGATAAATTTACAAATATAGGTATCTGATTGGTGATTGCTTTCCAAAATGAGCATAGTTTTATTTACTGAATATCTGGTATTCGGTTTGGCTATTAACTTATCAGAATATTGAACATCCTACCTAACACTTACTGATTGCTGAAAGTTAGAAACACAACTTCTAATATGATGTAAAAATGCATAGTAATGAGTATTTCACTTTTCTCCAATTTTTTCCAATGTTTTCCTAACGCTTTTTAAAAGCTAGTTAACTTTATAAGCTCTTGAATATGCAGTGGATGGTAACACCCAGTAAATGGGTTAGAGGATATGCATTTTTCTTTATTTCAGGTACGCCTTGTTCAGAAGAAAGACACGGGTCATATTTATGCAATGAAGATACTGAGAAAAGCTGATATGCTTGAAAAAGAGCAGGTTTGTGCTTTGTTTATATTAATTTGTGTTTATACTTCTAGTTTGAAAATATTATATATAGGTAGGAAAGGAGTTGGGGTTTTGTTTGTGTTCACTCTCTTGCTGTGTATCTGTACAGGCTGGCACAAAATTGCTGTGGTGCAAGACTGCTACAGTAGAAGCTAGGAATCTTAAAGAATAAAACAGTAAAGTCTGGAATAGAGTTGTTCATATGGTGGTCCCTGCAGCTGCCTCTTCTGCTGCCATGCAGTGGAGGAAGCCTGTGGGGTTGGGGGAGGGGGAGGTGTGGCACACTGCCTGTATAACAGAGGGGTATGGGGTCTGCCCAATAGCTATGCAACCTGTTCAGTGAGGAGCTGTTCACTACTTATGAGAGGGAGGAAGGAATTCTGGGAGGAAGTCTGTGCTCCTGATGCTGCCCATACGATGGGGGGGAGATCCTGAGAACCCATCCCTGCAGTGTATAGTCCACATGGTGTGCTGCCCCCAGAGGAGGAAAGTCATCTTGTAAAGAGAATGTCCAGTGTTTGCATAATAAATTTTAAGCTGTCAGGACATGTTCTTCAAATAATTAGTGCTTCAGTTTCTCCAAGAATGAGGAATTGCTGAAGGGGCAGTGGGGGACACAGCTGTCTCTAAGTTCTTGCAAACTGTGCTGAATTATTTCAGAGACTTTCAGTGGGTCTTTATTCCAGATGCAGTAGCACTGATTTGAACATGGGGTGGTAACCAGGGAGGTTTAGAGGACTTCTGTGGCCTTTGAAGCCCATGCTACCCCATCTTCACTTGTTACCTGTGCTAGCTAAATTCGAAGTAGCATAGGGTGTCTGACCATGATATAACTGCCCCTTCATTTTACTCCATAGACAACCTGAGCTTCAGGATAATACTGCTCTTCCTCTACAATAGGGGCGGAAAATTGTTTCTGCTAGAGGGTGGCTTAATGAGTTTTGATGAGGTGTCAAGAGCCACAAGGGTAGTCCCACCCCTGGACAGGAGCCACACCCCCAGTTGCCATCTTGTGACTGGAAGTCCTGCCCCTTAACCCCTGACCTTTGCCACCAGGAGACTCTTCCCTTGCCCAGGAAGTACTTTTGGGAGGGGGTGTGAGGCTTGCTTGTATATTGTGTGTGGAAAGGTAAGAGGGGGAGTGTGGTTGGGGGGTGTGGGTATGGTGCTGATAAGGTGTGTGGGGGGTATGGGACTGTTGTGCACGTGCTTGTGGGGGGGTGTGGGACTGTTGCACGTGTGTGTGTGGGTAGGTGGGGAATGGGAGGAGGGCAATTAGTGACAGGGGGCACCATGTGTGGGCACTGATGAAAGCAGCTCTGGCAGCTGGATACAGGTACATTTATGGGGATGGGGTCGGAGGGCCAAGGCTTGGGGACTGCCCCCGCAGGGGGGGAGAAGCAAGGAAGTGGGTCTCAGGGGTATGTGCCAGGGGTTTGTGGAGGGGACAGGGGGAAGCTGTACAGGCACTGGGGCTGGGGCAGGGCAGTGGGGCTAAGGCAGCACTTGGGGCTGCCAGTGAGCCCAACTCCACACTGTTGCCAG